CTTTATCTCATCCAGGAATTTTTTCCTCAAGGTTTTGTTTTTGTTTTTGTTTTTTTTTTTTGGCTTTGATTGAAGATGTTTTGGAGTTATTCTCTTCTTCTATATTTGTGTCTTGAGTTTCCCTGATGCAATAATAGCTTTTTTTTTTGGTGAGTCAGTTGGGGTTAAGTGACTTGACCAGAGTCACACAGCTAGTGAGTATTATGTGTCTGAGGCCTGATTTGAACTCAGGTCCTCCTGACTCCAGGGCCGGTGTTCCATCCACTGCGCCACCTAGCTACCTCCTCCATAATAGTGTTTAATAGTGGCATTCTTTTGTTTGTTTGTTCATTCTTCCAACTGATTTCCTTACTTTGAACTTGCTATTAGATTCAGTTCTGACCTTCTTTTGGAGGCAAGGCCTGAGCTGATTCTGTCACTGCTTCCTTGGAGAAATGAGTCTTAGAACATTTCAGAGAAAACTCAGGCTAGGGACTTGGAAGCTTTCTGAGCTCCCAAAGTGGTCTGACCCAGGGGAAAATCTGATTGTGCTCCAGGTCTGAGCTCTGACTGTTCTTGATCTCGGTTTGGGTCTGAACCACACTAGATTGCTATTTGACTCAGCCACTGTTGGCTAGTTCAAAGGGTTTACTGGTTCTGAGTCACAGAACTGACAGTGTCCCTTTGTTCTGGGATTCCTAAACTGATTGTTTCTCTTCAGGCTTCAGTTGGAAGTGAGACTTTGTTTGGCTTCTGGGATCAGTCACAGTGCTTCTGTTTGCTTCTAAACTTGCTCATCTCAGCCTAGGACGTGTAGCCCCTCTCCACACTGGAACACCACCATTGGGCATAGGTCACCTTCCACAGTGCACACTGGATCTATGACCTATAATTGAGTAGCGAATGACAAACCTACTTTATTGTACTTGTTCCTGTATCCTATGTTCCCTCTAAGGGACTTCCATTGCCCTAGTCCACAGACTCTCCCTGGATTCCTGAATTTTCCACCTACTGCTGCTCTTGACCAGATTCTATCAGAGAAGCCCATAGACCTCTCTGTGGCTGACTCCCTGTGCTGACCTAGGCTGGAAAAATGACTCACTGTGACATTTTCATGTATTTCCTCATGAAGATTTGGTTGGTGCATTTTCTAGGTCTGAGTGGAAGAGTTTTGAAGGGGAGCTCCCTGTGCTGCTCCCTGCTACTCCACCATCTTGGTTCTGCTCTAAGTTACTGGATTTTAATAGTGGTTTTTAAATGATGAGAGTTTTTTTTTTTTTTTAGAAAAACTTGTAAAGACTGGTTTACAATTAAAGATTAGCTTTATTTAGAAAAGTAAAGGTACAAAAGTGTTTCTTCACAACACAATGCTAAAATAATCTGTATTTTAAGTTATTGTGACTTGTTTTTCATGTATTCTAAACAAACTCTAATGGCATTTTTTATACAGATATATTGCTTACAATTAGTCTAAGTAATAATAGACTATTTCTCATCCCTTGACCTTTGTAGCAGAATAATAAGAGAGATCAGTACTGTAGAAATTACAGTGGTAATAATTATTCCCCAGGTCACAATGATCTTCCTCTACTATGAGCTACTTTCTTGAGGAATTATTATCCATAGACCCATTAGCATTGACCCCACTCTGATCTGTGGTGTTAATTATTACTTTATGTATATGCAAATTTTATTTCCTCAAGTCTACTGTTAACTTTTTTCAGGGTAAAGACTATGTCTTGTGCTTATTTTTGTCCTTTACAGACCTTAGTGTAGTACCTTACACATAGTAGGTAATTTATCATCTTTATTAATAAAACACATCCTATCTGTATATGCTTATGTGCAAATGCATGTCCATACACACATAAACATATGAACACATACATGTTGTATATATGTGCATGTACAGATAAATAGATGGGTGTATAAAAATTTGTCAACAGCTAGAGAATTAGTACACTCAGTTGCTTGGCTAAGACATGTCTAAAGAAAAAGGCATAAGCAATTCTGCTCAATTTTGTCATTTATCTCATGGAAAAGTTTTGTAATATGTAAATTTATTGAAGACCCATTGCTTCTCATGTCAATGTTAATGTTATGCATAGATGTGATAATAGGGTCTCAGGCATCTTATTATAACACTAGAGTTATTATAACCACCAGAGTCAAACAATAGCATGTAAAAGCCAAAGTTATTCTGACACGTCTAGCAATGTGCAGAAAATTGAGACAATTGTTCAGAAAATAAATGCCTTGGCCTGAATTTCCCAAATGATTAAGTTAAAATATTCTACTGAATTAAATTACAGAAATAATTTTAATAACTTTCTATTTCTGCGTATATGGAAACTAATTTAAAGAAAGACAATATTGTATCATGGAAAAAGTGCTGCCTTGGAGGACCTGGATTCTAGTCATACTTCCTCCAAATTAATTTTGTGTCTTATCTTGTGTGAGTCATTTCCTTTGTCAAGGCCTCAGTTTGTTCATCAGAGAAATGAGGAAATGAAGGAATTGGAAAGGAGGTCTCTAAGAGCCCTTTCTACTCTACTTTTTGTTAGTTATATATTTTATATTAAATGATGATGATTATTATTTGTATACATATCTAGAATCATCAGAGCATGCAGGAAGCTAGTTACTTTACTCCTTTCCTTTCCAAATGTCCTTACCTTACTGATGCACAAGAATGAAAGTATCTATTTAGATGAGAAAAGATAATGACACCTGGTCTCTACTGGGAAAAGTTGGGATAGTGTTATTTTTGGGACTGTGGATCCCCTCAAGTATCAATCTTAAGTGCTCAATCCATTCTTGTTATATTTTGAATCATCAGTTTACAGTAAGAATACCTTCATGGAGCTTAATACTTTGTTTTTAACCTGCTTTTCTGTGGGATGAAAAATGCTCAACAAAAATTTTATTCCCCTGTCGAGATTTTGATAAGAAAAGTCAAAAAGAAATAGCTCACTGTAATTCATTTCTTACTTAATAAATGAAAAACATATTTTCTTTCTATTTTCTTCTCTCTTCTGAAATTTAAACTGTCATGCCAAAAGAGATTAATAGATAAAAATAGGGATTTTTTTTTCCCTACAAGATTACTTAGATTACCTATGATTTGAATTTGACAGTATCAGTTAAGGATAGAACGAGGTTCCTAGGAAACTGCAAAAATAAAAATTTTTTTAAAAAGCCACTGGCTTAAAAACAACTTGCTCTTGTTTAACAGGTACTAACTTTACTATATTAAGAATGTCTACAGTAACCATTGTGTCACAAATGTCATGTTTTGTAGACAACACAGCTGGAATTGAAACTAGAAGAAGTGGATACAGCCGCAGGCAGCAAGAGTTTTATTTTCTCCCTGTCGTGATTGAGGACAGCAGTTACCCTGTCCAGAGCAGCACAAACACAATGACTATTCGAGTTTGTAGATGTGATTCTGATGGTACCATCCTGTCTTGCAATGTGGAGGCAATTTTTCTACCTGTAGGACTCAGCACTGGTGCTTTGATTGCAATCTTACTTTGTATAGTTATTCTCTTAGGTAGGTTAATTTCACACTTTTTCTAATGTTTTTGTCTGTCCCCATATCTCCATTTCTGTCTTCTCCACTGCCTCTTCCTTTACCCACCTTGGCCACTTCAACCTATAGGTTACTTTAACTTTATGTTAGCTTTATAGAGAGAACTATTTGGAGCTAGTGTTTTCTTAGTGTGCATTAAATAACAGTGAGATCTATTACTTCTGTAAGGACACAGAGACATAAAAAAAGCATGAAACTGAAGTGTTAAACCTGTCCAACAGTAAATACTATCATTATTAAAGTTTCCAATGAGCAACTATCTCCACTGTTTTTGTTGTTTGTTTGTTTGTTTGCTTTATTCAATTATTTATTTATTTTTGAGATAGATTGTGTAATAGAAAGAACTCTGGGCTGGGAGTCAGAATATCTGGATTTAGGTCCCAAACTCTGATATTTATTATCTGTGAGAACTTGGGCAAGATAGTAGGTGTCGCAGTGGATAGAGCATGGGGCCTAGAGTCAGGAAGACCTGACTTCAAATCTAGACTCAGGCACATACCAGCTATTACCCTGGGCCTCTGTGCAGCATTTAGCCTCAATTTTTTCAACTGTAGAGTAGTAATAATAACAGCACCTACCTCATAGGGTTGTGGTGAGGATCAAATAAGATTATATTCATAAAAAGTGCTTAGCATAGTGCCTGACACATAGTAGGCACTTAATAGATATTTGTTCTTTTCCCCTTGCCCCAGCCTAAAATGAAAGGGTTGGACTAGATACCCACTGAGATTTCTTCCAGCACTAAATCTAAATCTATTATAATAAAATAAATACAGGTCCCTTTTAATAGTCTGGAGTAGAATGGCTTTGTTTTTTCTATCACAATGAAAGTGCTTAGGGGCAGCTAGGTGGCACAGCGGATAGAGCACAGGCCCTGGAGTCAGGAGGACCTGAGTTCAAATCTGGCCTCAGACCAAACACTTGACACTTACTAGCTGTGTGACCCTGGGCAAGTCACTTAACCCCAATTGACTAAAAATTAAAAAAAAAAAAGCAATGAAAGTACTTATAACATAAAATCACGCATACACACACACAATGTATCTTGAGTTCAGGTTCTAATTATACTTTTTTGGATGGATTCATGATCTTATCAGTGTGGATATACTCTCTCCACTGATACAGATTGTAGTCCCTCAATGACACTATAGCTAGGGAAATTTATGTCTATGACTGTTCATAAATTTTCCACTGGGATCTACTCAATATTCTGTAGGTCTAATCATTAAAGGCTGGGAAAATAAGAAATACCTAACCATATGCTTCTTCCAGAAAACTTCTTATATCCTAATCACAGTGAAAGTAAACAAAAAGAAAAGACTAGAATTAAGCTCTTTCCCCATCATTTGATCATTTTGATCTGTCAACCATCAGTAATTGCTAATACATTTCCCATCTTTCTCCCACAGAAAAAGCCAACCAAATCAAGTATTTATAAAGAGCCTACTGAGTATCAGGCACTGCCCTAAGCTCTGGAACAAAGCAACACAAACAATTTAGAAGAGGAAAGAGATTAGAATAAGTACTTCCTATTGTGGCTTTTAGACAATGAATGGTAGTTGGTTTCAGAAGTTTTTGTCCTTACTACTGCTAGGATGTTCATAGGACTTCTTTTCACTTGTTAATCTACCACCTGATTCAGAAAGTCTCTCTCTATGGTTAGGTTCAACTCCTAGAGGACTGCAACCTGAAATCTAACAACATACTATATTCTTCAGTGGAAGCAATTGGTATGCTACAGTGAAAACAATATTCAGTCCCCCTCCAAATTTAACCTGTAACACCTCTCTTCATTTCAATTTAAAGAAAGTCTTTTAAAATACCTTGTTTCCCTTCCTACAAGCAAGTACGGTAAGGGATCTCTGTGCCTTGTCATGAAGAATGAATGGCATTTTAGCTTTGATGACATGTATGTAAATCTGATCCATCCCTTTCCGTTTAACTTCAGCAAAACTGCGTGGTTGTTTTGTTCTTGTGCTGATAATGCACAGCCATCATCATTGCTCAGGCAAATCCCCAAAACGCTTAGAAATAAATTCACACTGAATGGAAGACCAGCTTTTTTTGTTTTTGTTTTTGTTCTTGTTTCCCTCCCTAAACAGTCTGTTCTCTTCATTTTGGGGCCATGTTTTTATCAGTGTGTGTGTGTGTGTGTGTGTGTGTGTGTGTATACAGATATATATATAATTTGGTAGAAAGTATCTTGTCCGGCACATATATTCCTACCTTATTCAAGGAAGCATTTTTTTTAAACAAGAAACAGAGCTAAAAATTAGAAAGGGTGATAACTAACTAATTAGGAAATAGAGTGTGTTCCCCGAAGCCCCAGTTTTATGACATTATTGTAGCTTTACCATTCTTAACACTAGGTGGGGCTCTGCTCCAAATTTTCAAATAGCCGGGATGCAAACCATAGGAACTTGCTCTCAATATGGCAGAACACACAGTGTGAACCAAACATTTCAATATCAAAGTGAATGCAGTTCCTGAGTTTGGAGGCAGTGGTGATCAGGGTGTGATTAGTCAGGAGACTATTTATAAAGACATCAAACCTTTTAAGGGTGGTAGACTTTTATGCGAACTATTTGCATTTGAAAGAGTCACACTCAGACAATATGGACAGAGTCAATGAATTCGCCTTTTGGGCCTGGGCCTGGAGAGACTGAAATGGTTAAACTCTGAAGGTGGTCAAGAAAAGACCCAGCTAGGGAAGAAGAATTTACTTCCTATAGTTCACCATTTCCCTATGCCCGTTAAACAATACAATAAGTGGGAAGTAGGTGGGCAGTGTTCTTTCCTTCTTGCTACCCCTCTAGCAATGGTGTCTTGAAGCAGAAGAACATGGCACAGTCCAGTGGAATGGGATCCAGCTACTTAGTTTAAAATAGCTAATCCAGCACATAGAGTAAGGATTTTTCTTTGGAGATGGCAGGCTCTAGAGTCCTGATGGTGCCTGGGTTTGGGTTTTGAATCTTTCTGAAGTGAATAATTGAATCTTAGCCCAGTATTTCAGCTGAGCTCCAAACTGGAGATGGTTTAGAATACAGCAAAACATTGGACTGAAGATGCCTAAATCAGCTTGAATCTGTGGTTTTACTTTCTGAGAGGAATCTAATCTATGAATGCAAGATGGAAAGGTAGCCTAAAAAGATGACTATCCAAGGTGCAAAGTACTCTGGGAAACTGTACTCCTAATACTATGGCTTACAAGTGCCCACCGATACTTTTGTCTTTGATAGTCAGCCCCAGAAAACAATTAGCTTGAAACCAAGGCATTTGCTGAAATGTACAAATAATCTCTTCCAGAGACTTGGGACTCACTATCCCATAAGTGCCTCTGTTACCATTTGGACCCCCTGTCCCACTAATGTCTCTTCATACTCATATCATATCAGTTTGTATCATAGAGTTGGGAGGAACCTCAGAGGTCTAAGTGACTTGACAAAGATCGTATTGGTATTAGTAGCAAAGTTTGAACCCAAATCCTGAAACTCCAACGTTAGTCCCTTTTCTACTGGATACAGTCTTCCTAAACCTGTTCCTCTGATGGTTCAATGTCTCTTTGTAGTCAGCATGCCAGCTTTCCCCTTTAGCTTGTCCTTTAGCAGGGCATATGACACTGATCTTGACTGTAGCCTCAACATCTTCACCTTTGAGTTCAGATGAAATCCTGGCCTAAATTACTACTGTGGGCTCCTATAACTACTAGGTTAATAGGTCCTGCTAGGGCAGGACCCATGCCCTAGTGGCAGTAGGGGTCTTAGCTAGGAATTTCCTTCTCGCCTCCTCTTTTTCGTTTTTACTCTCTCTAAATGCTGCAAGGGAACAGAAGAACATCCTCCATAGGTAACTTTCTACTTGACTGTCCATTTTTTAAAAAACTTTTTAAAGATTTTGGTATTTAGTCTCTTTACACCAAAGAGCAAATCCCTTGTCTCCTTCAATTCTCAGCTTGACTCTTTCTTTGAAAATAAGTCAGTCAAAGTCTGATGAAAGGGATGTACCTTTATATCTCACTGTGTCCTTTCCTAGGGTGTCCTGGAACCAGCTAGAACTGAATTAGGAGAACTGATTGTTAGATTTTTGGTATGAGCCATTACAACACAAATCACAAATCCTACAAATCAGAGCTTGAATTATTGTTTTGCTTATTATCTAAACTTAAGAAAATGATAACAAAAATGTTAACAAAGATTAATATTAAAGTGTATCATATATATGTGTGTGTGTGTGTGTGTGTGTGTGTGTGTATTCTAGAGAGTGGATTATTAAAACTTTACCAGCACACCTCTGATTAATTGACCCTAACATCCTTTTATTTTATAAAATAGACCTGAGGACTCAGATGATCTTCATTCCTTCATTCCCTCTCAACTCCCACCCCAAACCCCCACCTCACCCCTAAGCAATTGGCTCAAATTACTCCCTTCCAAAGTGTGGGCATATTTAATGTTGCCCTATCTGCTGGAAAACTATGGTTCTCTTAGAAACGTTATTGTGTTCCTGGGTGAAAATTATCTGAGTAGTCTAAACTAAAGTGCTCATTCTAGCTCTACAGTTTTAGGTATATAACTGAATTAGTAATCAAGTACCTATTTCATTTAAAAAATTTATCACAAAAACTTTACTGGAATCTTAAACTGAAACATTTCATGCTTCTGATAAGTACTATCATACTAGGTACCTGCAAGTTAGAGGCATCAATGTAAGGTATTCAGAGAAAATGAGGACTAAATATTTGAATAAGAAAATAAATAGTCGACTGGCTAGTTACAGAGACTTTACTTTGTAGGATAATAATAGTGGTCTTTTAAAGAAACTGGGTTTCATTTAGCTTTCACCTGAAGGATTGTATTGACATTTCAGCCAAGAGTTGAACTTTCTTGCCAGTTTCACAATGCAATTCTCCTCTCGTTTCAGCCATTGTTGTGCTGTATGTCGCCCTGCGAAGGCAGAAGAAAAAAGACACCCTGATGACCTCTAAAGAAGACATCAGAGACAATGTGATCCATTATGATGATGAAGGAGGTGGGGAAGAGGACACTCAGGCTTTCGACATTGGTGCCCTGAGAAATCCAAAAGTGATTGAAGAGAACAAAATACGCAGGGATATAAAACCAGACACTCTCTGTTTACCTCGTCAGAGACCACCAGTGGAAGATAACACTGACATAAGAGATTTCATTAATCAAAGGCTACAGGAAAATGATGTGGATCCCACGGCACCCCCTTATGATTCATTGGCAACGTATGCCTATGAAGGCGATGGATCTGTAGCAGAGTCCCTCAGCTCCATAGACTCGCGCACTACAGAAGCAGACCAGGATTATGACTACCTGACTGACTGGGGACCACGCTTTAAAGTCTTGGCAGACATGTTTGGAGAAGAAGAAAGTTATAACTCTGACAAAGTCACCTAGGAGGCAGGGTTAACATTGAACCAAGAGGAAAAATTTAAAAGAAACTACAAATGGGGGTGGGTGGGTGGGGAACAGACACAACACCCAAACTTTATAGGACAAGATTACTTTGTTTACTTGGTTTCCAGCAAGTTACTATATTTATCATACTGTCAGTTTGGGTTGATTCTGCAAACAGAAGATAAATCCTATAATATGTCCTCTTCCCCCCTTTTACCTTTTTTGTTTTGTTTTGTTTTGTACTTTGGAAGCACTGAGATGAGCTCAGGCCTATTAGCTACAATTAAATGACATGACAACCTAGAAAGAAGATAGCTTTCTGGCATCAAGGTGGAAGAGTGGTAGATTTTTTTCTTAATTCCACTAAAGTGCCTATTGAAACTCTTATCTTTTAAAGTGGTATACAGTAACCTCTATTGAGAAGGTGATAAGGATTCAGAAATAAAGAGGACATAGAACAAAGACACTGACTTCATGTCAAGGAGAAATAGTGACATGTTGACTTCTAATTACTTTGGGAATAAAAAAAGAAGAATTTCTGGAATACATCTATTTATAATTCAAAGGTTTTTTTTCTCTAAAAAAAAATTGTATGCCAAAATATCACATTTGTTCTCCCCACGTTTGAAATAAATTGAAATAAACATGCTAGTATGAAATTCAATATGTAAAAGTTCCCAATTTTTAGAGAATGCTTGATTTTAACATTAGTTAATATTAAGTTGTCTGTTAAAATGTTACCTCCTTTTCCAAAATAAAAGAACAACAAAGGAAATAGTTTTCTTGCAGGCCTTAGGCTATTTACTTCTCTTTAAATCAACACTGACCTAAATAAACAAATAAGCAAATAAATTATCAATACTGGATTTTGGTAAGGTTCATTTATTTTAATATTGGGAAAGCAACAAATAATTCCTTATCAACTTTATCCAAGATAAAATTCTGGGAGCCTCCTTCTGTGGGGCTATCTGAAAAAAAAAATCAGTTAATTTAGTTATATATTAGCCTAAAGATAGGAAAATTGAATATCTGACCTCCTTCCAACCCTAGGATCCAATCAAGGTCCCAATTTTTGTGAATTATGAATACCTCAAGTGGTTGCATGTATTTGAATTCATACTATTTGAACTTAGAAGTATGTAAAAGATGGCCATTGGTTCCACCTGAATAGAAATATACAGTATGAATTTAAATAATGTGTCCACTTTAGGAGATTCATTAGTCACACTAATGAGTACTAGGTGAAATGGATCTCTAGGACAAGCAAAAATGGGAAACTCTCATAATTCCATTTGAACTTATGCTGATATTAACTATGATATCCATTTTCCCTTACTTTTAAGTGCATGCTGATACTCCTTAAGTACTAATACTTAAGCATTTTCTTTTTTTTTTTTTGTACTTTTACCCTCAGTACCTGGAACAGTCTCTGGCATGGAGTAGGTATTTAATAGTTACAACTAATGTCCTCCATGGTCAGCGAGGTTGTGCAGTGGATAGAGCACTGGGCTTGGAATCAGAAAGACTCATTTTCCTGAGTTAAAATCTGGTCTCAGACACTTTACTGTGTGACCCTGGGCAAGTCATTTAACCTTGTTTGTCTTGGTTTCCTCATCTGTAAAATGAGATGGAGAAGGAAATGGAAAACCATTCTAGTCCCTTTGCCAAGTAAACCCTAAATGGGGTCATGAAAAGTAAAACACAACTGAACAACAACGACAAAAATAATCTTATCCACATGGTCAGGAGAAAGGAGACAAATAGACTGAAGAGAGGTTTGGACTTTAAGCATGAAGATTAGCATTTTATGTACTCACAGCAGTGATTAAAATACTTGTGACTAATGAAGATTCACACTAAATGAGAATGTGGTTCATATCTGTGTGTAAGGTTTCTGAATATTTGGAATCTTAAGTAGTATTTTAGGTAGGGTAAACAAGAGAGACTACTGAAGAAAATATCACAACTGTTAAGAAAAATTACATACTGTCATGATGAAAACATTATAGGTTAATAATTCATGAGACTTTTTAGCCATATTTTTGCACCAAGGAATTAATTATATCAACAAGATAATGTTCAAATATGAATGTTAGCATTAAAATACCATATAAGGGAATAACTCAAATTTGTCACTAATTATTATTGTTGTATGGTTATATAACAAAGAAAATAACTCTACCTTTTAAAGCAAATTCTCAAAGAAAATTGTTTACATTTCCAACCTAAATAAGTGCCTAAAATTGAGCAGTAAACACATAATTATTTGTCAAAAGATGGTTTTAAATTTCCTAGTGAAGAACCTTTCTCAAAAGAATCCCATCATTGGGGCACTTGCTACTATGGGTAGAATAATGGGATTGGGTTTAGTGGTTTGAGATATTTGCTATTGACAATTCTTCCTACTGGGTATGCAGGGTTCATGTATGTGCATGTGTGTGCACATGTGTATACATGTTTGTATACATGTATGTATACATGCATGCATGTGTGTATACTCATATGGCTTCAGGAAGAAAGTATAGAAGATGGCTCTGTTGAGGATTTGGAATAAAGGATGGATAAGAGTCAATAAAATTTACATTAGTGTCCACAAAATATTAAAGCATAAAAGAAGGTCTGCAATGTGTGGAGCTGATCCACTGTGGAGGACTTATGGGAGGATGTTTCTATCTTCAAAACATCTTTTATATGTGTTCCTTTTTTTTTCTCATTCATATAGCCCTTACACTGGTGTAGGTACTAATCATTTCATACTTGGGCTATTATAATATCTTTATGGTTAGTCTCCCTACTTTGTGTCTCTCCCCATTATAGTCTTTCCTCCACATAGCTGCCAAAGTGACCTTCCTAAAGTGCAGCTCTAACCATGTTCCTGATTTATTCCAGAATTATGTATGAAATCCTCTATTTACATTTAAAAGCACTTGACACCCTGGCTCCTTCCTACCTTTCTAGGTTTCATACTCTTCCATGTACTCTATAATCTTGCTACTTTGGCCTTCTGGTTGTTCCTTTCACTCAACAGCCCATCTCCTGCCTATACTTCTTTTCACTGTTTGTCCCCTGTCACCTCATTCCTGAAAGATTCACCCTTCTTACCTCTGTTTTCTGACTCCCCTGATTTTCTTCAAGACTCAGCTCAAATCCTGCCTTTAGTAAGATGCCTTTCCCATTCTCCCTCTTCTGACTCCCAGTGCCTTTCCTCTGAGATTACTTCCTATTTACAGTATATATATCTTGTATGCATGTAATTGTTTGCATGTTGTATTCCCCCCCATTAATGTTAGCGCCTTCTAGCAGTGACTCAGTGATTTTTTGTTTGTTTGTTTCTTTTAGTTTGTTTTATTTTCTTTGTGTTCTCTGTGGCCCACAGAAAGAGCTTAATGGTTACTTGTCATTTAATCAATTGATTAAGTAAGCAGGTATGTATCACATAGGATAAGAAGGTCTTATACTTTCTTTTTTTGAGTATTTAATAAAAGTATTTATTTTTAGTTTTCGACATTTACTTCCACAAAATTTTGAGTTCCAAATTTTCACCCCATCTCACCCCTTCTCCCACCCTGAGATGGCTTGCATTCTGAATACCCTGAGGTCTTATACTTTCAAATCATAAAATGTGAGGAGTGGTTAAAAAAGTTAGGTAGAAGTAGTTAGATAGAAGTTAGATAGACATAATTTTTTTCCTGATCTATAAAAGAAAGAATTAATCTATGATTTCTAAGGTCACTCCCATTTTTGTTACTCTGTGATACTATGAAGGGTCCAAAACAGAGTTTATGGTAAAAATGGTCATGTATATTTTTCTTCTAAAATTTTTATTTTATTTTGTTATTAATTAATTTAATATTATTAATATTAATTTTTTTCTATTAAGCATTTATTTTCTCTCTCTTCCAAATATACATAGTCAAGCAAAACAAATCCCTACATTGATCTATGCATCATTCTACATCTTGAGTCTGTTCCATTTCTCAGGAAGTAGTTAGCATGCTCCATTATTGGTCCTCTGGGATTGTGGTTGGTCATTACATTTATTATAATTATTAAGTCTTTCCCATGCATAGCTGTGGAATTTGAATCAGAGCTACTGAATCCATAAGTCACTGGATCCTTCTTTACTACATGCAGGCCTAGTTTAAGAAGGACTATGTACAAAGCAAGTATGTTTCATCTATACTGTATTCCTAGTATCTCTGACCTCATAAACTTTCCATTTATTTTTCATATTCTGAAGTAGGGAATGTGTAAATATCAAATATGTGGGAAGTGGACCCAGTTGTACTCTATCAGAAAACTTTCATTTATATCTTTTATTAGAACTACTTCATTGACAGTTGTCAATTGACAGCTGTTGTGGCAGATGGTAAGGGGGCAATGGTATAGAGGAACAGCCTTATTCAATGAAAATACTATTAGATTTGGAGTTAGAGGAAATGGCCTCATCTCCTAGCTATTTAACACCTGTGTGACTTTTCTCAAATTATTTAAACTTTCTGTGCCTCAGTTCCTTCACCTGTAAAATGATAGGCTTTGATTAGGTGACTCCCAAAGTCTTTCATAGCTCTAAATTTATGAATTCTGTGATTTTGTAAATGCAATTTGGGAAACAGCTACTTTTATTCAAAGTTTAACAGGTGAATAAAGATGACAATCTTTGTAGAATATATTTAATTAGGCCTCAGATATGCTAACTTGCTCCTGAACCAGAATTACATGATTCATAATCTATATCTGAATGAAAATGGAAAAAAAAATGTACCTGAAGATATGCTCTACACAGTATACAGATATACATTTGAAATATCAATTTTCACACAAGGTCTATATTAATGAACTTTCTACCACCCTTGAACAAGTTCCCTAACCTTCTTAAGTCTTTTATTTTCACTCCACATCAATTAGCCATTGTCACAGTGGTGTCTTTGACCTCATCATCAGTTGAAATGTTTCATACTTCAGGTCTTTAAAAATCCCAATTCTAATCACAATCTTTA